AGAAACAAATTTCTCTTTCCGTAAGGATAAAAAATTAACGTTTTACTCAGGGGGCCTATCTGCGAAAATAAACCTAGGAAGATAGTAAGTTCAAAACTGTGATACTACAAGGGGGGTCCTATATGCAATTAACTATACAATTAATCATGATGATTCCATATAACAATATTCACCTAACCAAAAAAAAAAAAGTTACCTGATGGTTACATCAATGTCTAGCAAAGCTAACTTTGGGGGAACAGTGTAGCCTGGTTCAAACTTCTGCACAAGTAAAAAACACACAAGATTAGTTTACTTAAAAAAATGAAAATTATGCAATTTCTGACTTTAATTTTGTGTAATTATTAAAAATCCCCCTAACTTTAACTAAAATCAGGGTAAGAGACATAAAACTTGCTACAGTTCTATAAAGGGGTCTAACAAATTAATATACCCCGTAGAAAGAGAAATTCCACCAGCAACCTATATAAGGAAAATTAGGTCGATAAAAATAATAAGAGCAGACATAAATCTAGTTTTCTAGATTAAGAAATGACACCCAATTCTAAGACTCAACTGCAACCAAATCAAATTGGAGGAGGTATGAATATCTGTAGGATCACATTGAGACACGTGTTAAACAAAAAAAAATATAAATATAGATGAACAGAGAATTACGAAAACTATAAGAAAATTTCCCACAAAAAGAATAACAATGGAAAATTCATAAATAAAAAAAAACCCTCTGGATTATTTTGAGTTCTAATTAACCTGGAGACAAATCTCACAAACTGAGCTTCCTCTCTCATTACACCATCTTTGTATGCATCCTCTGTGAGCAAACTACGACCAGAACAGAATGTAAACAGAACCAAAATCAGCAATGCAATCAAAATTAAATCACCTAATGAAATTTTCATTAAAAAAAAAACACATAAAACTTTGATCATTATATACCTTTAGGGAGCCAGAGCAAGCGCAGGGGGATTCCATGCCTGCTGAGCTCTCCTCCTCTTCTTCATGGCAAATTCTGCAGAGCTTAAATTGAGAAGAAGCGCAGGAAGAACTAGATTCCTCTTCTTCTTCTTCTTCATCAATAACCAATGTGAAATCTTCTTCTTTGTTTTCCAATTCCATGGCTTCGTTTTTTTTTTTTTTTTTTTTTTTTTTTTTTGGTTTTTTTTTTTTTTTTTTTTTTAGCTCTCTTTCTCTCTGTTTGCGTCTCTGTTTTGGTTTTATGTATATAGAGCAATAGAGAATTCTTTGCGACTCTTTTTGATACCCAATTAAAATTAGGAAATACCGGTTGTGTCCCCGAGACGGCAGTTAGACGGGTAACTGGGTAGGTCGATTTTATAATCTTCAAATGACCATGAAAATTGTCGCCAAGGAGTCTATTCCTTTATACAAACAGGAGGATCAGAGATTCACTGTTTATGTACAGTAAATACTACAGTGACATTTACTCTAGCATTGTACTGTAGCTGATACTTAATTAAAAAATATTACTGTAGCATACGGGTATACTGTAACATTTAAAAGGCACTGTAGCAGAGCGGGATACTGTAGCACTTCCAAAAATTCAAATCATGCATATTAAAAAAAACGGGTTTACTGTAGGAAAAAAAAACCGTGCTTTGCACGAACCGCAAACTAGTTTGATTAAAAGTTAAAACCTCACGCGCGCCCACAAAATAAAAATGAAAATGAAAATGAAAAAAATTCAAAAATGTTTTACAAATTCATCTTTCATTAGACTAGTTGAGAATAACTATTAATATTAATACTTCTTTATTGACTCTCACTTTAATACGCATTACAAAAAATGTTATCCTTGTAGTTTCAATTTATTTAGAAGGCTCTGCACTCAAGATTATGTTTAATGATGGCAAATATTTGTCATTAGCTAATAATCATGGATGCGTCTACCTCCATCATTGGAGGGGGAAACTTCACTAAGCTAATTGCGTGTAGTTAGTTGCACTTGTTCCTATCGTTCTTTGCTTTCTTAAGAGTTAGAATTAATTAGGGCCCGTTTGGATCGGGTATTTTGAAGAGGAAATGAGGGGAAAAGCTGTCAATTTGTTGGTTTTTTGGCAGTTTTTTCCCAAACAGCCTCTTAGTGACTCCATATGTATGTGTGCTCTCATGGTAATTAATTATCAGCAGGCTTTTGCTCTTATCAAAGTTGCCGTGTAAGCTAACACACAAGAGTCATGTCTCCTTGAACAGTACAATAGATGTTATTCCTAATCTTGTCCTTGTTCTGTTAGGTACATATAGTACTTATTGGAAAAAAAAATTAGTACATAATAATAGATAACATGAAAACAACATAACTCTAGTTAAACTGATTTGGTTAGGACAATTTTTTTTTTTTTTTTTTGACCCTGGTCCAACCAAAGTGAGCCATCTCCATTTTGCCAATCCAACCCTCAAACTTTTTTGACTTGTACTGGTTATTAATTAGTCTTTACTCAAGGTTCCATCTAACTTTACAGGAGACTATTTCCCGCCACAGGATTTTCTTAATCAAGAAAATGATCAGGTGGGTTATGATGATAATAGTTCATGTTTATAATTCCCTATGCTTTTGAGTGAAGACAAACGCATTGGATTCTTAATTAATATCAAACTGGGATCTGAACTTATAATTTTAACGATTAAACCCCTCTACTTGGAGCATTCATCAACTTCAAAATCTTTTTTTGGCGATAGCGACTCCACTCGAAGCATTTTTTATATAGTTGCTCGATGACAGAGCACCAATGATTTGATCGACACAACATCAAAATGTCAACATCACATCCCACGTCCATCACTATATTTTTGTCATGATGGTGCTCCAATACTTAACATTGTTGATAATAGTGTATTGTAGTGGGTTTTAGTCCCACATTGCCTGGGAGAACAAACCTCACACTCCTCTACTTGTATAAATATATGTGCACACTCAATATTCAATTCAAGGGAAATTTACCCAAGATTCTCTCTCTCTCTCTTACTTTAACATGGTATCAGAGATAGGGCTATTTCCCTTTCAATAAAATTTTTAACGCTTTTGCGTTCTTTTGCCAAATCTTGGCCTTATTGCTTTGCAGCCGTTTAATGTTTTATTTTTTTTATTTTTATTTTTAATTATTTGGCGTTCATCTGCCAGATATTTTGGCCTTGTCGTTTTGCGGCCTCTTAACGCGTTTCGCGTTCTCGTTTAACCTTCGGGTTCTATTTTAAACCTTCGGGTTTCATTCTAACCTTCGGGTTCTATTTTAAACCTTCGGGTTTCATTCTAACCTTCGGGTTCTATTTTAAACCTTCGGGTTTCATTCTAACCTTCGGGTTCTATTTTAACGGCATTGTCGTTTCAAGACCGTCTCTCGGTCTCAAATTAACGGCATCGTCGTTTCAAGCCGTCTCTCGGCCTCAAACGAACGACATTAGTAACAGCATCTCGACATCTTAACGTCTCAAGATTGCTGTTATGGCTCCTTCAGAGAAGATTCCCAAACCACCTTTGCCCCTCAATGATCAAAGTGACTGGGCAGGGTGGTCCACCATTGTCACCAATGCCTTGCGTGGCGCTGGTTTGCTTGATCATCTCACCAGTACGGGACCAGTTCCACCGTCCATCAGCACTGTTGCTTCATCCAGTACTATTGCCTCTGGCAGTGGTGATGTCGATCTTCAGACTGCTCGTGCTCTCTATGTCAAGGAGAGTTCAGAGTGGCAATTGCAGGAATTTCGTGTTATGGATTATCTCACTCGCTGTGTTGGCTCTGGTCTCACTGTCGAGATTGGCTCGCTTCCCTCTGCTCAGGCCATGTGGACTCGTCTCACTGAGCGTTTCACTGAGTGCTCGGGTGCACGGGAGGCATATCTTCTGCAACGCATTTCTCTACAACGCAAAGGTAGTTCATCTCTGCAGTCCCATTTTGGACAAATGCAAGCTTTTTGGACAGAGTTACGCTCCATGCTTCCTGGACGTAATTCCACATATGAAGACTGGCTAGCCTGGTACGAACGGCATGAGGTGCATCAATTGTTTCAGTCCCTTCCTGAATATTCAACTATGGCTGATCAACTACTTCACCAGCCTCAATTTCCGACTTTGGCCTCAGTTATGGGAGCTCTCACTGCTTATGAGACCCGGCAGCAGACAGCACGACTCAATTTGTCAACAGACACTCCTACCTCTTCACTCGAGACTGTTTTGTCTGTACCTGTCACTGCTCCTGTTATGAATTATACTTCTCCACAGGCTCCCTCTCCACAGGCTCGATCTAAGCTCTCTTGCAAATATTGTAAGAAGGAAGGACACCGCATTGAGACATGCTTCAAGCTTCATCCTGAGTTACGTTCCTCAGGTACTGGACGTGGTCGGCGACCCCCTCAGTCTCAACCCTCTCGTACACCAGGATTGTTGGCCAATGCTATACCTTCTACTACTTCAGACTCTACTATTCAAGCTATTGAAAGTCTTCGCCGTCAACTTGATGCTTTTCAACATATCACCTCTACATCCGCCGCACAACTCTCTGGTATGCATTTTGCTGGTTCTTCAGCTAATCCTTCAGTCTCTGGTATGAATGATCTCTGGATTTTTGACTCTGGTTGTTCCTTTCATATGACTTGTAATGCCTCACTTTTATCCTCTGTCTTTACTTCATCCTCTCTTCCTCCTATCTACACAGCTGCTGGACAACCATTGTCCATTACTCAGTATGGCTCTATTACCCCACAAAATGATCCATCTGGTCGTCTAACACTTGGTCCCGTCTATGTGGCTCCACAATTGTGCTTGAATTTAATTTCTATTAGCTCTTTATGCATGGCGGGCCTGTTTGTCTCATTTTCTTCTGATACTTGTATTGTGCAGGATCCACAGACGGGCAAGACGGTTGGGGCGGGTCGTAGGAGGCACAAACTGTATTTTCTGGAATATCTTCACCTTCCAGAGTCCATACGTCCACGTTCTCTTGTTGCTTCTCTTTGTTCGTCAAAACCCTCTACCTCGCTTCCTGCCAATTTATGGCATAGACGACTTGGTCATGTGTGTAATAAAAGGCTGGAGAGTCTTATTCAGTCTGGAGTACTTGGTCCTGTATCATCTAGTTCTAGTATTGAGTCATGTGCTGGTTGCAAATTGGCTAAATTCACTGCTTTACCATTTAAAATGAGTACATCTGTATCCACTTCCTTATTTGATTTAGTACATTCTGATATTTGGGGGCCAGCTCCTTTGCCTTCTTCATCTGGCTACTTATATTATGTTAGTTTTATCGACGATTTCTCTCGTTTTACATGGGTTTACCTACTTAAGAATCGCTCTGACGTACTTACTGCTTATCAAGCCTTCACTGCTATGATTTTCACTCAATGGCAATCTCGTATTAAAGTTTTTCGTTCTGATTGTGCCAAAGAGTACCTATCCTCTGCCATGCGCTCTATCATGTCCTCTCATGGGACTATCTTTCAACAGTCATGTCCCTACACTCATGAGCAAAATGGTGTTGCTGAACGCAAACATCGTCATATCCTCGATACTGCCCGATCAATGCTCATTTCTTACTCTGTTCCTCGTCGTTTCTGGGCTGAGGCTATTCTCACCGCGACTCATGCCATTAATATCACTCCATCTAGCTCTCTTTCCGGTGCTACTCCTTATAGTCGTGTTTATACTCATCCTCCCCGTTATGATCTAGTTCGCGTTTTTGGTTGTCGATGTTTTGTTTTTCTGCCATCTCACGAACGTGATAAATTGTCTCCCAGAGCAGTTTCTTGTGTTTATTTAGGAATTAGTTCAGAACATCGAGGTTATCGTTGTTATGATCCCGCAACTCGTCGAGTTCATATATCTCGTCATGTTCAGTTCGAAGAGGATTCTCCATATTATTCTACTTCTGATGACTTTAATTTCCTCCACTCTACCGATCATGCTTCCCCGTCCACTGCATCACCCACTTCTTCACCTCAATTTTCCTTTCGAGATCTCCCTGACATCTCTCCCTCTCCTTCTGTTGACTCTTCCTCACCTGAGTCTTCTCTTACACCATCTAATCCATATCCTGTGGACACAACTCTCACTCCAGAAAATACTGTTGATCTTCATGCACCTGCGCCAGCATCTCCCCCGCCTGAGGTTCCTCTTGCTCTTCG